TCCTTCTAGAGCTATTTAAAATGTGTTTTTTAAATAAATTTATTTTGTATTTGTTTCTGTGATTCTGAATATATTTTTGAATTAAAAAAAAATGTTTTTACAATGGCTTTAATAGTTTAGAAAATGCATGGGGGGTAATATATCCAAGATAGAGAAAATGAAACGCAGTTGGCAGCTCTCCGAGAATTTTTTTTTTTCTTTTCTTGTACACTCTGAAAAAATAATATTTTTTCAGAACAGTTAGTTAAAATACTCCAAACAAAAGCTTTTCTCAAACATCCCAGTCTGCATATCTGTATGTCAGTAGTGTCCCACCACAGCTGCAAGCATGGATAAATTAAAACTTCATCCCTTTTCCTTAGAACAATGTGTAACAGTGCCTTTAGTAATACACCAACACATGTTATCAAGTCTTTACAGATTAATAGCATTTGCATCGCGAAAGGATCACAAAGATACCAGTTTCTTAACATACCACTCGACTTACATGTGGCCATCTCCTGTTTTGATGGCATTGTTTCCTACTTTGCTACCTTTCCTGGGGAGCTTTGAGTCACCTCTGCTACATAGAAATGTGGAGATACAAAAAAAAAAAAAAACATACGTAGAGCAAAAATAGTTACTGTATGATCTTCTGATGTGCTTCCATGCCTCTTCTATTCTTTGTTGGTGAATTGATAGACACTTTACTGTGAATGGGACTTTGAAAATTAATAAAATAAATTAAAACATGATTGTTACTTGCTCTTACCATTGTTTCAAAGTGTTCATCTCTATCGACGTAACATTTTAAAAAGTTATTAGTACAACATTGGACATCAAAATATTTGCAAATATTCTTAAAATTCAGAAATATAAAATCCTTGATTTTTTCAGACCACTCAGCTTTAAAAAAAATCCTCTATTCTGGGTTTAATTACCGCTTTGCACCTCGAAGATAATTTCTGCAGACTGTTGCGATGGTGATCTATTTTTTAGCATGAGGAAAAGGTTTAGAAAGCCCATCTGGCCCATGTTGTGTTTTGAAGAGTTTATGGTTAGAATAGATGGCCATTTATGGATTGTTAGTTTAAAAATTAGCAGATATTAAAAGAGGCTGATTAAGTGGACTATATTTAGATACTTAAACATATTTGGTCCTGAGCAGGACTGTTAATTTATCTAAACAAAAAAAAAGGTCTAATTCCAATATATGTATTAAGAATGCAGACTGGGAAACTGAATCCCAGTTTGCAAGGAAGTCAATGCAGTCTCCAAGGCAATGGTGATGTCAGTTAGTCAGAGGTAGACTTTGTCAACAGAGACAACCAACCACACCTTAAGTGATTTTAGCAACTTACTGAACAAAATGACTAAAAATAACAGTTTGTCAGTTCTTTCCAGTTTCATTTTACAAAGTTGCATCTTGTCCAAACTGTGCTCTAGCTGCTGCATTCAGCCTAAAACCTGCTTAATGCTTATCATTGTAATATATGCCAAAATAATTTAATGAAGTGAATATGCCACCAATTTTATTAAAATTATCAAATGGGCTTTAGGTTACTTTAGTCCTGTAGCAATGATTCATGTGTTATGATTGAACAACTTAAACTGAGTGAAGCTCTGCCTAATGAAAACAGACAGTGGTTGCTTTGTAAACAACAACAGTAAAGAAGAAAAAATCCTTTGAAATTTTGTATTTTTTTTGTCAAACAATGAAACCTGGAATTCTGGTTTCATACACAAACTCCTCTACAACAAAAATGTATTGTTAAAAAAAAAAGAGCCTGTTGGTCACATAGCAAAACATTTAGACATAAGGAAGAGCCATTGCTAAAGTTCAACCTATCTAGACTATTTTATTATGATGAAAAAGAGAGATTAAAGTGATTTTGAATGAGGCAGAGTTGTTTGTGCCAGATGGGTTGGTCTTAGTCTGATGATCTACTGGGATTTTTCGCTCAGAACCATTTCCCAGTATTACAGTGGGTTTTTGTGACAAACATGAAATAATCAGTACATCTTGACTGTGAGGACAAAAATGTGCCCTTGCGACAGATGAGAAAATGCAGACTGGTTTGAGATGACGGCAAGTAGCTTAAATAACCATCAGGTATAAATAGAATGCCACCTCTAAATGCAAAACATATTGAATCCTGAAACAGGTGAGTCTCAGAAGCAGAAGGACCACACCAGGTGCCATCTTTAAGAATCAAAAGCAGGATATGGAGGCAACAATTCAATCTCATGTGACTTTGGCCATTTTCATGCACATTGCTGGTTTATCTTTGTCTCAGCAGTGGATTCGTTTTTTTTTATTGTTTAGGTTTCTTTTTGTAAAGAAATTGGTTTCGTTGATATGGCAGTGAGTTCACTGTCCTTGAGAAGAGCATACTGCAGTATTTAAATGTTTCTACTATGCAAAAAATGACCCAAATCAGAGAAATATTTCTCAATGCCATAGACTCAATGCAGTTAGTCTAACCCAATGATAGCCAAATTTACCTGGTAATGTAGCTGCTGAGTCTGTGTCAACTGACTGAAGTTTGGTAATGTGAGCAAGATGCATATTTCTAAACATTGCAAAATTAAACTAAAAGAAAAGTATATCTTATAATCTAGCAAAATGCAACAAAACTTGTCTCAGAAAAGTTATCTGCAGTTTCCTTACCACAAATCTGAAACACCAGCAAGGCATTTACCTTAAAGTTGGCTCAAAACCTGCTTCGTGCTTACAGTGATTAAACCTTACCAGAGACCTCCTGAGTAACCCAATGTTCATGAGAAAATCATCCCATGATTCCTGGAAGCGAAAGCCCACAGACTTCCATTCTTTAGGTAATTCTCAGAATCCAAACTTGGAGAAAACGTTGTTATTCAGGGAGACATTAAATAAACTTCCATCACAGCTACGGCTCAAAGGTGTGGTTCTTTTGGAGTCATTTTACCACAGTGAAAAGACAGAAGCAAAGGTCAACCTTAATGACAAAAACTAAATCTATAAACACTTTTAAGAATATCTGAAAGGAGAATTCTACTAAACCAACAAAGCAGTGACACCACTAAAGAGTGAAAGAAAAACAATTGATGTCAGGATTTCATTTCTCAAATACAAGACAATTTTACAACTGACAAACTAAGAAACAGCTCAAGGAAAACATTTTACTTTGTTCTAATATAATAGGCTACACCTGATTGTTGCCACGGCAATGATATTAGAGACATAATTGTCCCTCTGTGTCACTCTATGAGCGTTTATATGGAAATTAACACTCTGGAAAAACTACAAGACTTTTGAAATGGTTTTGTTTAGACAATGGAAGATTTTTGGTGTGTATCTATGGTGTGTATTAAATGCATATCTGCACAATAAAGGGAAAGGTTGTGTAATATCTTTGAAAAAAATATTAACACAAAAAAACAATTTAAAACAAATTTTCCACATTATTCACATGCTGTTGCTCACTTGAAATTTAACGAACGATTCTGAACGCCAACAAGGACAGTGCTTTCCCTTCTCTACGCCATCAAAATAGGAGGAGATTCTATCTGTGAACCAGGTTTAAGTTAACATGGCGGACATTTTACCAAGGGAGTAAAAGTGCTGTATTTACTCTGGAAAGCCCAACGATGGCACAGGAAAGCCCATCAAATCTTCTAGAAATGCTTTTAGTTCACAGAATCCAGAAGCTTTGGAGGTAAATCACCTGGACGAAAGAGGTAAGGCAAAGTGAGCCTTTACAGCTTACAAGCAACAGGAATGCGGAGCAAATGGGCGGACAAAAAGAGCACCAGGGCTGCACAGAGGCATTAGGCAGTGCCCCCCTCTGGAGCTAAGGGAAGAGATAAGAACAAGAAGTCGGGCAGATAGAGCAATAGAGATGGTCAACTGCAGTGGCAGGTTGGGACAAGCTCCAAGAAAATCACTTTTTCAAAACCCACCCACAAATCTCCAAAGAACACTCCTTAATCTTTCCCAACAATCCATACCCTATCTCAACAATAACTTTTCTATCTTTTTCCATCTCCTCAGCACTTCTTTACTCTACATCAGAACATCATCCAGTTCCTGATTACATTGACATCAAATTTCAGATTCAGGTTTGCATCACAAAAAGTTTGTTCCTTGGTATCGCTTTGCCTATGAATATGCTTTTACAAAAGGATAACAAATGATTTGTTCTGTTTGCATCAATAGAGTTTAGTGTGAAAGAACTGTGAGAGTCCTAAAGGCTTCAGAGTATAGCAGTTCAACAACCCAAAAGCCACCAATACTTTAGACAAATAAAACCAAAAGCAGAAACAAAATCTAAATTTGAAACACTTTAGAGACACCACAGAGTTCAACCTGCAGTCCAAATGAAGACCTTTCAAGAATTTGGGGTTCTCTTTAAAATATCCAACATCTCCTTTGTTATCAGCTATGCACAATCCCCCATGAGCAGGCCCTGATCTAAGGACCTTAGACACCTGCCAGGAACATGCTTTTAGAGAAGGTTTTTTACAAGATGATTAGACAAATTCTACCAGTTCTAGAACTTTTCTCGATCTCTGGTATTTCTTCTGGGTTTGAAGGTACCAGTTAAAACATTTTTAGACAGTTACTGAGAAGAGCTATAATCAGACAACTGTGGAGATAAAAAAAAAAGCACAAAAGTGTTTAACTAGAGTAACTCAACTTTCCAGGCAATTTAAGTGCAACAAGTAACACTAACTTGGTAATGGTTGCTCATATATTTAGGATTTTGACTACTGCAGCGTGGTAAACACCCACTACAACATGCACATTTTGGTAGAATAACCGATTTATGAATTTGAACCATATCTCTTAGATTTAGAGATAGATTATCACATGTTTCAGGTATTGATTTACTTCTTGTTTATGTAGAGTTTAGAGGAAACACATTTTAGACATGAAGCAGACATTCTGAGTGGAGAATGTAATTCTCTTCTGCAAAAAAAGTAAAAGAAGCACACTGAGCTGCTTCCAGTAAACATTCCACTCTTGCATCAAGACTCACCCCACAGTCGCCTCTCCCTCACACTCCTCCAGAAAACGTCCCGAGCCTTGTTGGTGGAATCCTTCACATGCTCACTGAGGGATCTCCTCAGTCGGGTTTTAATAGCCAAGGTTTGAGCCATATTCCACAAACTAAAGCATCACATGACACTCCAAGATACAAACTTCCAAGACATTAGAAAAGCACTGGCTCCGTCCTGTCCTATCAAGAGGCTGCACTAGACTTCAGGGTGAAGCAAAACAGAGGAGGAAGACGAGCAGGCAGAGGGGCTGACACTTGATGCAAAAAGCCTGCATGCAATTTGTGAAACAGCACTTCTCCTTTCTTTACACCCTCCCTCCTTTCCTCCTTACAGCTGCCGAACTGGACTGTTATGTGTCTGTTTTGCTGCTTTTATGAGGACTAGGTTAGCTGGTCCAAATCTAAAAACAAATATTAAGTGAGAGTAAACCAATATGCAAAGACCTGGAAAGAAATGATAACTAAGTCAATTAAATGAAGCATTTAGCAAAACTGAATTCCAAGCAGTTGGTTTGGACTTTAGTCTAATGTTGCTTCACCAAGGTTTATAAAGTTTGTAAGGGTCCAACACACTTTCAGTTGGACTGAGGCCTAACTTTGGCTGGGCAATTGCAACAACTTTTTTTTAAAAAAAATACACTTTATAATGATTTATTTCTAAAGTCATCATCGAAGTTACTGTAACATAATTATTATTTATTTTTTATATTTATTTAATCAAAGCCTCTGTGCCAGTCTGGGACACTGTCTTCTTTATGAAGTACCTCAAGGATTGATTTTAGGGACTTTTCTTTCTAACCTCTCTTAATTCTAATTGGAACCCATTACTACAGTGATTTGTTTTGTCTTTTGGGCTTTGTTGTCGACATTCAGATCTAAGGCTACAGCAGGTAAATGCAGCCCAAATCTGCCCATTAGGGACTGATATTTGAATTTTTCAGTGTAAACTGATGTTTCCACCTGAACCTCCCCTAGATTTGAGCCATAGGTGGTACTAAAGCGGATTAGTACCAGAGATTTTCTTTAATGTCTGCATGAAATGTAACATTTAATTTTTTCCAAAGCTCCTGCCAAACAGACTTTTCTACAGCAGTAGCATTTTCTGCTCCATTAATTGACATGGTAAACCCTCATGCTCTCTCTTTATACCCTTCCCTTATCTTGTTATCAGGTCAAAATATTTCTGGATTAACAATAAGAGTGAAGACAATTTTAAGAATCCAAGCTTTTTAAACATTTTTAGTCAATACTTTTCATAACCAGTGCTCTGCTCTGTGATGTCTACATTCCCCTTCTGTGCATATGAAAGCTGTGGGATTATGAACTGTTAAGGAAAACTGCTGGGCATTTGATTAGTATCAGAAATAATAATGCAAAAAAAAAAAAAATATATATGTTTAGCCAAAAACAACCTACTGTACCCACTGCTATCAGAAGATGGACACACTAGTGTCTATAGACTAAATGTGTCCATATAATGGATGGTCATGTTCAGGAAAATTTTTCTATTAGGCTGTAGGTTTGAATAATGTAATGTTGATTGGAGAGGATGAGCATAAACCAAGGCCAGATCCTAAAGAGACGGAGAGTGTGTGAAGCTCTGCTAAGTATATTTATTCTGTGTGTGTTTGCGGGGGAAGTTATAGGTTTTGGCCAGCCACAAGAAAGGAAATTACATCTATTCTGAGTAAAGGGACTCCAGCAGAACACATGCCGTGTGTGCACACACAAAAAACAATAACAAATGCACACAATACAAACAAAATCAAAATCTTTTGACAGAGAGCAATCCTGCAGTTTGACACATATGTTTTAGACCTCTGTCTGTATATAAGCTAAATCAAGCTATTTAAGCTTAGTGATGGGAGACTACTGGTTACAGATCATTTTAAGGCAGAGAAAATTCAAAGTTAAGTTTATTGATAATAAATTCTGAACAACTAAAGAACCTGCTGGATTAAGCAGGTTATATTATAAAGTAGATAAAGATCATCGTGTCCAGTTATGTCTAATCTCCTGATCTATGTGGCTGTAGTTACAGAATAGTATTGTTTAACCTCTTAAACAATTGGTTAACAGAGGTTTCAGCCTCTTAAACTCTGCCATAAGCTAGAAGTATTGGAAGAAAGAGAAAGGTAAGTCTAAAAAAGAAAAATCATCCTTTTTTTAAGGTTCATTACTGGTATTTCTGGTGCCGTTCGTAGCGGCTGAAAATTAATGTTAAATTTTATTTAGATTGGTGGTAAAAACTGCAACAACCAAAACTTAGACAACTTTTATTGTCATTTTGTATACACAGAGTATGATATATACA